CTGTGAGATGAAGGGGCTCATATGGTAGATGCTAATAAAGGTGTTTGGAATATGAGCCAGTGGAAATTAATTCTTGAATTCATGCTAACGATGCCAGCTTATTTCTCTTCTTGCTGTGCCCCAGCTGCTGTCCCCTTAGACTCATCTGCCCTGTCCTCTGAGAAACTGGGGAATCCCTGTGCATGCTTGACTGAGTTTGTTGCCTTTGGGGTTCCGCAGGAAAGACCTCTGTCCGTGCCTCTCTTGTGTCAACATTTCAGCCTTTCCCTGTTGAGTCCTCTTCCCCAAACCAAAGATGGTTCGTCTCTGCTGAGTTTCAGGAAAGGCTGCAATTACCTGTCTCTTTCTCTTGTGTGAAGATAGATGCTAGCATCCCTGTCCTCAGCAGCCAGGAGGCTGCATTGCCCTTTCAGCATGTGAGGCCCCCAGGTAAGCTCCTCTTCCATCTCTGGGGCTTTTGTGAGCCTCTAAGTGAGCTGTCCTCCCTCCTTGCAGGGATGTACTTCTGTAACCCAAGTGTCTGCCGGTTCCCCATGTTGCTCTCACCTTTGTTTTGTGCACGTGTGTCACCCACAGAAAGGAGGAGGAGAGCAAAAGAGAGCAAAACCCTTGCAAAACCCAGGAGGGGAGCTGGGGCTGGTGGCTCTCAAGGAGCTTCTGGGCAGAGCGGAGCGAATGGAGACATGTGGATAGGGGGGGGTCCTGGGGAGATGGTTATACCCAGCAGCTTTCCAGCAGGCTCAGGTGCAACCTTGGCTTGATGAGGGGCTGAAGGGCAGCTGCAGGGGTGAGTGTGGTCCTGCATGCAGCTGAGCCACGAGGTCTGCCTTGCGAGGCAGGGAGGGCAGCGTGAGGGTCCTGCGGTGAATAAAAGGGTTGGAAGCAGCGTTGGAGCTGGGCAGCTTGTGAGCTACTGGACTTCTGGGACAGATCAAGGGATCTGGCTACCACTGGGCTAGCAGAGATGGAGGAGAGAGGAACAGCTTGTTTTGAAATACACAAGCTCTTTTGGCATAAGGGGTGTGTGATTTATAGGTCAGTGAGACTCCGCAGGGCTTATCTGGGTCTGAAACAAGCTTCTCCCTTGTTCCCCTTGCCAGCGCTGTTGTCTACAGTGTTTCAGCTTCCCACAGTGGGATGCTGGTCGGGGTAGGTACAGACTGACACGGCCAGTTAAGCTACAGTCACAAAGCCTAGCTAGAGAAGGCATGCAGGTATCTTTGGAAAACTTCCTTTTCCTGGGGATGGAAAACAGAGGGTGGAGGCATGTGACCGCAGGTCATGTTCACCCTTCAGAAGCCCCCTTTCCCTTGTCCCAACCTGTGTTTTTTAAAAACTGAAATCTAGGCTCACATCGAACAATTTCCAAAAGTCTTTGCAGTGCAATGTGTATGGAGCTTCTGGTAACGTGTCTTCCTTCCTCCACGCCTGCTTCTATTCTCCCAGTAGCCACCAGACAAAACAGGAGGATGCATGGGGTGGCCCAGGACATGCATGATCCCTCCAGTGTGTGTCCTGCCTTGTCTTCCCGATGCAGTAGTTGTCCCTGGCAGGGTGAGCTGGGAGTTCCCTACAAAGGTCTCCCGTCCTTGCCACAGCAGTAACTGACCTTGGCCAGGTTCTGCCTTGTCTGGGCATCTTATGGTCCTCCAGAAAGACCCGGTGGAATCCATAACAGTAAATTTGGAAGCATTTTTGTTGCTACTGGGCCTGGACTGCTGCAGTGTGGAGATGGTCTAGGCTGTCAGTTTGGAGGCAAGTGTGAAGTCATATTTGCCTTGCTCCTCCAGAAGCAGCTGCTTACTGGGCTCACGTGCACCCTGGCTTATCCCTAGCACAGGCAGCAAGGAAATCCAGCTGTGTTGTTCCACAAAGTTCTGTGGTGAGCTGGAAGGAAGAGCTGGAAGGGTGCATAGGCTCCAGGTGTGTTTGGTTGTGAAGTTCTTCATTGCGCCTGGTAAATGGGCCAAATTTCTATCTGCTTGTGATGCTGGGAAACCCATCTTGTGGTATATCTGTGGCATGAGTAGGCTTGTGAAGCCAATGACAGATAAAACCCTAGAACAACAGGATTATCATTCAAGGCTTAGAGGAAAATCAGGCTCATTACTTCTGATTCCTGAACTTATGAACCACTGCATGCATTGGCTCCATCTGGCCATTCTGCTTCTGCAGAACGATGTCACCCTTGGTCATTATTTTATCTGCCTCTGAAAGGAAGGCTATGATTAAGAACTCATCAGCTCTGGCGCCTGGCCAGGTGGTGATGCTAGGGTGTCACACGGGTGCTTCACAATCGCCTGACCAGACTATGGGGTATAAAGGGGAAGACAAGCTCAGTGCTTTCTCTCCTGAATACTGCTCCCTCTCACTTGCTTCCCCCAGCCCCCCATGTCCTGCCCAGGGTCCTTGGAGGCAGAGCATCCCTCTTCCCCATAGCTCAGTGCTGTGCCCATCAGTATGTCAGTGGCACCACTCCTCCCAGGGAGGACTGACCTCTGGGGTGTGGACACTTGTCCTGCTCTTTTCCTTCTGCCCAGAAATCCTGCCCACTGTTCAACAACGTGATGGGGCAGGAAGAGCTAGAGAATGAGAAGTGGAGCACAGGAATCAGCAGAGAGAGGGGCTGAGGGAAACTGCAGGGACTAGATGAACCATGATTATCAAGTGCTCCAGACCTAAATGTTGCTGCCCAAAGAAATCTATTGTGCCAAGAAGTCTCTCTATTGGAGAACAGAGTTCAGCCTAGGGCTGGGCTGGTTGTTCTTCCCCAGAAAGGTCTCTGTACCCAAAGAACATCATCAGCCTGATGGCTGGTGGGTAGGCTTCTGTTTCTGCACCCCTCTGAGTTTGTTCCCATCAATCCTGGAGACATAGAAGATGTGTTTGGAAGGTGTATCTCTTAGGTGCTAAGGACTGTTCACTTTGTAAGCAGCTTGCCCTTTTTGACTTACGGAGATCAGTGCCACCTCTTGTCTGCTGCTGCTTGAAGGCTGGCAGGAGCCTGCAATGACAGCAGGGTGGCCTGGTTAGGGGTGAGGTGTTGCAGGGCTCTGTCAAGGATTAGGAAAATGCAGGTCAGTGAAGCAGCTTGTCAAGATGTGCGGGTGGAGTTCTCAAAGGGGGGAGAATGGAAACGATGCCTCTGTAGCTGAGTTTCCCACAGGCAGGGGGGAGAGTCTGTTACCAAGGAGGGTAAGAGGCTCCAGGAACTCTGTTCCTCTGTTCTTTCACTGCAGTGCAGGTGTAAACACCCTGGCGAGGGGTACTGGGGAGAACATTTTTCCTTTGCAAGGTCTTGACCAAAATGAAAATGTTTGTTTCCCTGAGAGATGGACTGCGAGGCTTCTGAGGCAGGAGTTTAGCAGTCCTTAAAAAAGCAAAGCAAAACAGTTTCTTGGCCAGAAAGCTGTCACTGTGTTTTTGTTCTTTTCAATATAACACCGAAAGTGACAGATATAGCTTTTGTATCCAGTCAACACCACAGATTTACTCTGTGACCTTTCAGATATGCATGTGGGTCTAGATTTCTGAATCATAGTTAGATACCCGAAAACTGGCATACCCGTAATGTGGGATTATTTGAGCTTGTTTTCAGAGGTGCTAATCAAACCTGGCTTCAAACGAAGTCAGTGGGAGAAGACAAGCAGGCAGGAGGCCTCTCTGCTCAGCCCAGATGTTGGTGCATGAGCAAGGTCCTCCCCAGCCCCTTGCAGAGAACTGGAATTTGCAGAGCAGAAAAGCCCATCATGCAAAGCTGTGGTCAGGAGGATTCTTGCTGCATTGTAGGCATCTGCTTGGGAAGAGACAATGTATCTCTGGGCTCACCTGTTCTAGGTCACCTGCATGCATTTGCAAAAATGCTTTTTATTTGAGGACTTGTGAAAAAATCACTGAATTCTGTAATGCCACTGCCACCAAGACTTGTGTCCCTCTTCCTAATCAACATCCTCTGATTTAATGCTAGCTGATTTACCCCAAAAAATCTTGGCTCCTGTTGTGAGAATATTTTCTGTCATTGGTATGTACCAGACCCCTTCCTGTACTACTCATTTACCTGACAAGAAATAATTGTTCTTCTAGTATGGTGCCCCAATACTGTGTCTCTGAACAATCTGATCTGGAGCCTCTGGATCTCCCCTGGATGTGCTGTTACTGTCCAGCAGCTCGTATGGTTTCTGCAGAGCTACAGCCATGGGCCACCAAAGAGCTCTCCCTGCTCTCTAGATAACTCTTGTATCAGCAGCAGTTTTAAGTATCAACTCTTCACTGTTGAAAGGGAGAGGAGCAGGAGATATGTATGGCAGTGTGCTAGCTGGGGATGGTTGGGGAACTGCCCCTTGCCCAGTGGATCATGCTCCAGTGGTGACAGATTTCCTCCACATATGTCCCTTCCTGAGAATCGCAATGAACTCCCAACTTAGCTCATATAAGAAGGCAAGTGCTAATAGCTTGTCATGGCTGGCCTGGGCTGACTTTGAAACCTTGGCCTCGAGGTGAGATTCTCCATGTGCCCTTGGGAATCTCCTGAGTTTCTGCTCAAAATAAAATTGGCTTTTACCAATCGTGTGGTAGCAAGCAGTGGCTGAATGCGACTGTGTTGTGGCCAGACAACTTTCCATGACTTAACTGGGAGATCAGTCCTTCAAGTCTTTGGCACAGTGTAGCCCACTGTTGGTTGACATCCTTTAGTGCTCTCATAGTCCTAACTAATACTCGTTTTGCAGCCAAACTCTAAGCAGGCTGGGACAACATCAGTGGAATGCAGTTGTGTTTGGTTGGTGTCGTAAAATGACGGTTTGTGCCCTACAAAGCTCAGGTTGTTTCCATTTTCCCAGAGCAAAGCACAGTACCCCCTAAGTGGTGGAGGTGTGGACACAGACATTAGAGTGCAAAGGAATTTGGAGACCCACCAAAGGTCTCGGCAGTGGCAGTAGAGAACAGACTGACTGACATCCCTACCCTGGAGCCCGGCTGATGTTTGCTTGTTTCTCTCCCAGGACTACACCATCACCATGTACTTCCAGCAGAGCTGGAGGGATAAACGTTTGGCATATAACGACCTTCCTCTCAACTTGACCCTGGACAACCGGGTGGCTGACCAGTTGTGGCTGCCTGACACCTATTTCCTGAATGACAAGAAGTCCTTTCTGCATGGGGTGACGGTGAAGAATCGCATGATTCGGCTCCACCCTGATGGGACTGTCCTGTATGGCCTGAGGTAAGTCTAAAGGGAATCTTTGTTGGTTGTGATTGAGAATGACATCTCATCATCTAAACTTCCTCATTTCCAAAGATGTTCTGGCAAGGCAAGGACCTAAAAGCCCAAAAGATACTCCAGTGTTGCACACTTTGAAGTAGCTGTTCTTTTCCCAAGCTGGAAATGGTCGTTTCCTTCAGGCCTCCAAAGTTTCCTGTGCTGCTACAGGCAAACGCTGGAGATGGGAATAGGCTGCTCTGAGCTTTTCAGGTCACTGTCATTCATGTTGCATAACACTTCCATTTGAAACACTCATTTTCAGTTGCTTATAATTTTCTGCAAGTTTGGGCTATGGAGATGAGACTTTGTTACTCTTGTATCTAAGGCTAAATTTCTGTAGCATTTGAGTTAAATAATTTCAGTCATTTTTGAATATTAGATAAGAGACATGTTTTTGTACAGTTAAAAAAATGTCTCTTTCCCAGAGCGATTCGGAAGATTGAGGCTTGAAAGTTGGTATCTGGTAGGGGAATGGTCCTCAGTGAGGAGGCTTGTTGTGGTGTCTGGAATACACTAACGTAGGGAAGTCTGTAGCCTTTGAAAGTGCTGTGCTTGTGTGCAGTGAAGGTGGCAAAGGCCTTACTGTATTATCTGGACACGTGGAAATGCCAGGGTAGGTAAGAAAGTTAAATGGAGGGGGCAGAGGGATAAAAGCAAGATTTGCAGCTATAGGTAAGAGCGCAGGTTTTGGATGCTGTAGATAAAATCTAGGCAATGACTTTCCCATCCTTGTATTTGCTTGACAAATCTGCTTTGAGCTTTTCTCCTAGTTTTTTTTGGTTTTTTTTTTCCCTTTTCGACTACCAAAAATTCACAGCTGGCTTTTTAGGGTTGGTTTTTTGCTGTTTTTTTTTTCCCTTTTTGACTACCAAAAATTCACAGCTGGCTTTTTAGACCTGCCTCCACATTCACAAATGATTGCGAAAGCAGCTCTGGGCTTACGTCCCAGTGCAGCAAAGGGGGAGGAAAGACCTTTCTCCTTCAAAGAGGGTACACCCACCCTTCCCATTTACAGTATCAGCTCCTCTGCTGCTTCGTGTTTTGTAGCAAAGTCTGACTATGATTTTTTTTTTTCTTCTTCTTCCTTTTTAAGTAGCAGGTCTGTGCTGGGCAGGGTAGGGCTGGGTGTAGGCATACCAAAGTAGGAGGCTGCCCAAGGTGACTGTCCCCTGTGCTTTCCCAGTGGCAGAGCCCTGGGAAGCCAGGAGAGCAGCAGTCACTGATGGTGCTGAGGGACACACTGTGGTACATGGGGTGTACCTTTTCCTTCCAATTAGCGGATGTCTCTTGCTCCAGGCCCAGAGACAGCCATCAGTGGTACCACTGATGTACCACTGTGGTACATGGGGTGATATAAGTACTACCTTTTCCTTCCAATTAGAGGATGTCTCTTGCTCCAGGCCCAGAGACAGCAAAAGGTACAACAAGCCCAACTGTGTGACTCTGTCCCAGTTCTGCCTCTCCCTTCCCAGAACAGGTACATCCATCTCTCTACCTTGGGCCAGTGATGTTGTTTGGCTGATGCTGCCAGGGAGCCCTGAGACATCTTCACTGGCCCATCTCCAGGCCCTGGTGAAGGCCCTGGAGAATAAATTGTACGAAGAATGATTGAGGGAGCTGGGACTATTTAGTTTGAGGAAGAGAAGACTGAGGGGTGACCTCATCACTCTCTGCAACTACTTGAAAGGACATTGTAGAGAGGTTGGTGCTGGTCTCTTCCCACAAGCCAGTAGAGATAGAACAAGAGGGAATGGATTCAAGCTGCAACAGGGCAGGTTTAGACTGGACATTAGGTAGCGACAGAATGGGAGGGAATGGATTCAAGCTGCAACAGGGCAGGTTTAGACTGGACATTAGGAAGAAATTCTTCACAGAAAGAGTGGTCAGATACTGGAATAGGATGCCCAGGGAGGTGGTGGAGTCACCATCCTTGGATGAGTTTAAGAGTCATTTAGATGTGGTGTTGGGGGACATGGTGTAGGGGAGAACATTGTAGAGTAGGGTAGATGGTTGGATTCGATGATGCCAACGATCTTTTCCAACCTAGATGATTCTATGATTCTAAGACTGTAGCCTTCCCACAGCTGACTACCCCACATTTCCTCAGTGTGTTAAAACAAGAGTGAAGGCTGGGCAAGAAGATTTTTTTGATTTGGTCTAGGTAGGAGCATTCAGCCTGTTGGGAAGGAGAGGGGCAAAGAGTGCTGTTAAGCTCAGGCTGCTCACTCAAGCATAGAGCTGCCTCCCCCAGGCTGCTGGGAAATCTCTGCACACACCTGCACTGCAAAAGAAACAGGAAAGCTAGTATATTTTTATCAGCTGCCATTTAGTCAACTCAAATAATGGGCAACATGAAACCTGCAGCACAGTTGACAGGCGGTGGAAGTCCTTGGAGGGTTTGCACTTGGGCTGGGACACGGCACAAGCACCTCCTGCCCTGTCCCATCCCTTCCCGTGGGGCCCAGCAGCGTGGAGAAGGGAGCTCAGCTCCCTCCTGTGACCTGTGTAAATGGGTGAGATGAGGAAAACTGCATGCAGGCCAAAAGAAAGAAAATGACAGCTGTTTGCCCCTGTTATTTCCAGGGCCATAGTAAGAGCTGCCTGTGTTGTTTTAACTTTTGGCTGGTTTTCCTGGAAGCTGCTCTCTTGCCCCTGGAGAAAATGGCAATTGCGAAAACAAAGCTCTGAGCAACTGCAGGTCCTGTTCCCAAACTGTACCTGGTCAGGATGGCTGGCTTTTGCTATCCTGAAAGCACTGGGGCTTGGGGGGACGAGCCAGGTGCCCTGAACACTTGAAGTCCCTCTAGCTTTATTGGTAGTGGTGTGGGCAATATATTCTTTAAGGCTGCTTTCTGTACTGACTCCTCCACCTGTGATTTCGCTGACAGCAGAAGTGATAGGTGCAGTTTTGCAGGTGCAAATAACCGTGATCCTATTCAAAAAATACATAGGCACGTGCACAGCAGGTGTAAGCAGGTAAAAAAACAGCAATTGAATATTAACCTGCGTTCCCTTTATCTTTGTGAAAATGCACCCGTGCTTGCCCTGCAAACAGGAAGAAAAGTGCAGGTCCCCATGTGCTTTGAAGCCTCTTCTTGTCTTTTCCTGCATTTTTGGGAAGCTTTCATAAAATGGAGTTGCCCTGAAGGAGGAAGGCCAAAGGAGGCAATTTCTGTTTCTTTTCCTTTGTTTGCCTATTTGTTTTTCCCCCAGCGAGATACCAGGGCTCTTCTCCTTCTCCCGCTACCTTCTCGCCGCTCGCTTCCCCCTCCTTTGAGCTGATCCTGTAGCAAAGTGACTCAATCATGCTATTTGTGGCACAACAGTCATTTTTCTTTCCAGCAGTCTCTGATGTCAGAGACCGGGGAGGATGACACCCTGGCAGGCCCCTGCCTCCAGCAGCGTTCGAGCGACCGGCAGGATCAGGCTCGAGTGCTGGATCCCACCCCAAGGTCCAAGTCAGCTCACAGGGGACTCAATGGGTATTTTGTTTCTGACTTCAGTGAGAACAAGATCAGGCCTCAGATAACGTGTTTTGCACGAGTAAATGGAGCCCTTTATTCCCCCGCCCCGCTCCATTGTGAAAGTTGTGTGTCAGAAAAGCATATGCTTGTTTTTGGTGGAATTAGCAAATTAGCGGATGAAGGGAGCGCAGCAGATGTAATACAGCTACATCTTAGGAAAGCGTTCGATACAAAAGCTTACTCCAAAATTAATTCACACTGGGCTCAGATTAAAAGCTGGTTGCCAGGTCTCCAACAAAAGGAATGCATAAACAGCAAGCGGGCTGTGCCGGGGTGGTGATGCTGGGCTGGAATGGGGACTGGAGCTCCCTACACCCTTCCCCAACGCGTTAGCAGATGGAAAAAATCCCAGGAGGGCAAACTGGGGGCCGGGAGTCCAGATCCAGCCCAGAGGGCACTCTTATCTCCGCAAACACCGCGGTGAGAGGATGCAAACGGGCAGAGCTGGCAGGATTTTGAAGAGGCATAAACTTAGAGTGACGGTGCCTGAACTCGCCTGGCCCCCAAACACCTTGCAGGAATTAAAATTGCAGGAATTAAAAGGGCCTGTGAAGCACAGGAGAGCTGGTCACCTGTGGCACGCGGCGGGCAAAGTGCTAAAATGGCGTGGAAAGTCTGGAATATGAAGGGAGGCTTAAAGGAGGTACCCACAAAGACAGAGCAATCAGCTACTGGGTAGTGGAGGGGGTGCAGATAAAGTAGTGAGGAAGAGCTGGATAGTACTGGCTGAATTCAATATATTTTTCCTGCTAATGGCTTTTTTGTCAGAAATTGCATTGGTTTCATCAAATTTTAAACAAAAAATTAGGGAGAAATTTTTCATTTAAGAAAAAGCATTTCAGAGAATGTTGATGTTTCACTCCTAATTTTATGCGGAGAATTTTTCACTTATGTCAATATTTCCCTCACTATTTCAAGCTGCTTTACTACCACTATTGATGTTTGGGAGTAACATAGAAAATCATCAAAGGCTTTCTCTGGACCTCCAGAGACTGTCTAGTCCACCCCTGCCGCAATATTCAATAAGCTTTACATTATCACACATGGAAGCTATACATTATGGTCTGAGATTTTTATTTCCTTTCCTAGACCATGTAGTATCCATTTGGTAGTGAAACAAGTTGACACTTGTCAAATGCTGATGTCATCAGTATTTTCCTCTCTGTTTTCAGAGACCTAAAAATAGAAACAACTGTAACAATGCTGCAATTCTCATCTGGCGATTCGAAATCGTGCTTGAAACCAGCTTTAAAACAGCCGTTAGGGAAATGTTGAAGCTATTTGATTTCATTCTAATCAGGGACAAAAGTGGATTTCCAGCAAGCCAGGTGTTTTGAGGAGCCCGGGCTGCATCCCTGAGCTCGCCGGGGGAGCGGGTGGGCTGGGATGCTGGGAAGCAGGCGCGAAGCGAGATGCGGTGCCGGGCTGGCCAGGAGC